GAAACTTCGCACAGGTAGCGGCAGTGCAGGGTGGCGGAAACCTAAGTTGCCCAGCGGTGAGTAGAGTTTGCTTTTGGCATGCGGTGGTGATGAACAATTGTAATTGTCGCGCATGATTAACGGCGACTGTTGATGGGGGTGGCTTGCCTGTTGACATGGGCAGCCACGACATGGTCACAAAGATGCGGTTTGCTGGGGGAGCACCCTTGTCCAGAACATCGTCAACCTGAACAACATGCATCGAAGACACATCCCAGGTCTGTCAGGTCTTCATAAATGCAAACACGGGGGGGGGGACGTGTCATGCTGAAAGCCTGTTAGCTAGTGTCAGTGGAAACCCTCCGCCTACAGTGTGATGTGGCACGTTATCCTTTCTGTGAGGCAAGGACAACCGAGAAGTCTATGCAGAGTGCCCTTGCATGATCCGGCCAGCAAGTTTGGCTTCACACAGAGAACATGAAGGGGAAACCCTCTCCCATGAAATCATGCTGCACTCCAGGTACTCTGCAGATTACCCCAAGGTGATTATTCACCCTTTGGACACCACAAAGGCCGCTCAAGCAGAGTTGTTTGTCACCACTTGGCATTCTTCCCTGTACCGAGTTTCAATTGGTGAGCGAAGCGAAGACGTTCCACTTGAGAGCGCTCTCACGCACGTCCCGCGATTTGATCGCCTTGACGATCCGCTGCTTCCATGCGAAGAAGTGCCGCAGCAGCATCACACTACTGCATTCTGGCGTGCCAGTTTAAGTCAGATCGCTTCAGTTTTAATTTCAGTGGATTCGCCGTTTCCCAAGATTCTGCGACAGGTACATGTCAACTTCAAACATATTGCAGACCTTGCTGCCTGAAGCGGCCTCAACCGTTCCTCACGCACACACACACATGCACACGGACGGACGATGGCACGACCAAGTCAAATGCTGGAATCGGCAATCCAGGTTCAGCTACCTGATGCTCCAGGCCCAGCCTTTCAATGTATCCGTCTTGGGCACAGAAACTTTCAGGTGCTGTCATGCCCACAATGGACTCGCGGCTGGATTCCTGCATTGTGCTGGAAAGGTTGGCCAAGGACCTAAAGCCCCGAAATGCGGCATGCGGCGGTATGTCACTTCGCCTGCCACCCATCAAGATACATCAAGATACAAGCCTCAAAAGTCGCACTTGGTGAAAATTCAGCAAAATCAGCCACACACTTCACAAACTGACTAACATATTTGTTTGCGGCTCCCTATCATGAACCTGTAAGGCACTTTGCGCAACCATGGACAGCCCGAACAGAATAATACACACAATGGAAACAACGTAGCAGATGCCATGGCAGCCTTGGGCAGCATGCTCAGCCTTTGTGCTCTGCAGATTGGTGCTCTACATGTTGCACTTGCGTGGATTTTTATGTGGCTCAAGAAGGTGGTGTAGACAGTACATTTCAGCACTGCAGAAGTTGGCTTCGCAGTCTTTGACGCCTCGTCTGCTTCCCAGTCCCATGCAGAAGATAAGACGGTGCACCTTGCCCAGTTCCATGTTGCACTGATGTTGTAAGAGAGTTCTTGTATGTTATTGTTGCATGCAGCTGAAACCCAGTGGTTCAGGCCGCAAATGGCTACGCAGGCTGGGTAAGTCTTGTGCTCACGCGAGCCTGCTTTGCCACACTGGAGGTGGGATCACTTATGGCTGGTCAAGATCCCAAGGCCGTCCAAAACCTGGTCGCTGACCTGAAGTCCGGCTCTGAGATTGGACGGGAAAGGGAGGAGGCACAAGCCCAGATTGGTGCAGGATGCTGGCGGCCTACGAGACTGCTGCGGATTGGCGTGAGACGAAGGCCTCTTGTGCGTGAGTCCAACCCAAAACAAGCTCACAATCCCCAATATACAACTGGCTAGGCAATGGACGGCGCATACGCCGCGCTGTCATGGGACGACAATGCCGTGAAGGTGAGCTGCATCTCATTCTGACGCACGCTGCCGCGCAATCCCATCAGGCTGCTGTGCCTGAATACTTGAATGCCACTGGTGAGGAGCGCGCGAAGGCGCGCATTTGGGATTAGCTCTCAACGTATTCATTCACAGTTTGGCTTCCTTGTTCAAGCTTCGACCGCTTCCAGTGAGGTTGACTATGCCTTCAATGCACTTGTTCCCCGTCCACCTCAAGACACTGATGCCCGCCAGGCCAATTGATCGCCGCTAGAGTTTGAGATGTTTTGGTATGCCATCCTCACTTGAGTGAGATGGAACCGGCATGTTCAAAGCGCTAGGCCAGCATGTTCGAAGGTGCCGAAACGGATGTGTTTGCTAGAAGGTCCAACGCGAGCATGCACAAAGCTTTGCGCCCTGCACAAATGGCCCGCCAACTCACGGCAGCCCGTGCGAACAAGTCGGTCTGCGCCACAACAAGTATAGTGTCGAGAGCGCACCTTGATGCACAGGCTGTGATGCACACCTGGATCAAAGCTCGCCTTTTCACCTACAACAAGGCACGATGCAGCCGGTTTGTGGAATGATGTATCACATGTCGATGTCTCACAGGCATTGCAGCAGTATGTCATTCGTCGCGGCCACCTTTAAGCATGTGGTTCAGCTTGTGGCACATCAATAAAATTGAGAAGTTGTGTTTTCCTGGCCCTAGTTCAACCAATCTTCACAGTTTAGATTGGGAATTTGCAAGAAGTGTGGTCAGGCAAAACAATGGTATTATGTGTGTACATTAGTAATACTGTATATAATATTCATAATATCATGCACAAACTGCCATGTGCAGAATAGAATATGTATGTCACCCATTGAACTGTTGCTTGTTAGCAAACAAAGCTGAGTCCCAGTTGATAGAGTTTGTATGTGCCCCCCCGTTGCAAGTAAATCTGGACTTTACATGGTGATTCAACTGGAAATCCCGTTGGAGGTCCGGAGGGCAATCTTCATGGCCCAGCCTCCGACTGGTAAGGTCATGTCTCACATGTACCACCTTGAAATGGCTAAAGTCACCGGAGCAGCAGGGCAGGTGTTACCATCACATACTGGGTGATTTTGTGCAATTCAGAACTCCTTGCTTGCAATGGATTGACATGATTGGTGCACATTCTTCGATAAAGCACCTGCAGAAGGGGTCTCCGCAGCAGCAACACCTTTGATGTTTGCTCCGCAGCCAAGTCGCTATGCCAGGCATTCCCCTTCAAATTTGGCACGTACTGAGAGCCAGTGCGCTCCCTTTGGAGTGAGAGCGAGTCAAGGTAGGCTGCTACGTTGTCCTATGATTTTTGCTGTCAAGCAAGGGCAAGAAGGGCGTTGAACCTGACGCAGCCCTTATCAGTTTGGTACAACTGGCTCCGCGAGAGAAAGACATCGAAGAAAAGGCTTACAGCACTTGCGGTTTCTGAAGTCAGGAGGACTCGCAGCACATGTGACAGGGATCTTCATGTGAGCGCACATCCGATTGTCCGAGGTTGCTCCCGAGAGTCATGTTGCAGCCACTCTGTGTGAACCCTAATTCGCTTTAATTCGCTTGGGCTTAGAGAGGAATGCAAAACGGTCACGAGGCCCAGAGAGCAAGCTGGCCTGCCTGGCAGCTTGTCATAGCGGCAGCAATTGGCGGTTCCGCAGCTTGATGAGGGTGGCCTTTAACCATTTTGCCCTATCTTTTATCATTTGTGATGGATTCCGGTTGGTCGCTGTTTGCATGTTGATATTGGCAGGGAATCATTGATGCCTCGGAGGAGAGTGCAAACACAGATGTAGTCACATTCATTTGTGAAGCCCCTTTCATTCAGGATCTCACGGCTTTGCTGGAGTTGCCAGTCCTGACCTTTGCACACCCATTTTGGCACGAGTCTGAAAGATGTGGCAACGCAAAGATCCCAGGAGGAAGCTGGCGCAATTGTGACGTGGATTGGAAAGGCCTGCATTGGCTGCGGTCATTTATCAATCGTGCGCTTGTTGACAGGCTGGCTTGCAGCTGGTGGTGCCGGCGAGTTTTTATTTGGAAGCGTACAAATGGAGCGCTGGCCAGGAGTGGAGATGGCTGCGATCGTCCAAGGCTGGGCTACTTCATGTCGAGTAAGGTCAGGGGTGCAGGAAGCATCAAGTCCTAAATGGCCGAGAGCAGCTGTGGCACAACTGGCGCAATGATCTTAGCAAAATGAATCCTGAAGGCGACTCACTTGTCCTTGCCGGTCGCATGCTCCGACGAAAGCTTGGGGCTTGGATCGGATGAGAGTCACACCCTTTTGCAGCCGAATCTAGTCGGTTGGATGTCAAGAGTAGCCAGGAAGTGGAGTCATGCCCCAAGCTCTGAAGCCAACGCCGCGCTGGCAGCAAAACATCAAAGACAAGTCGCATGACGCAATCGTCATCGTTACTTTAGAGCGAAGAAGCACTTTGCGGCAAGCATGGCATAGCGCAATATTCATGTTGTTCCTGATTGTCCTCGTATAAAAGATTCGGTAGGAATGGTACACAGGGTAGACTTAAGTCGCATCAGCTTGTCTAAAGTCGCATCGATCGCGCGTGGCCAGTGGGGAAAGCATCCCCGCAGGCAACTGGCCCAACTGTCGAAGCAGCGTGGCCGGCGGGTAAACACACAGCCCGACATCAACTGCGTGCTTTATGCTTGCTTCTTGGCGCGCGCTGTGGAGGCGCGTGGCCAATGTGATTGCCATGGAACTCACGATGCATGATGTGACTTCACGTGCGCTGATGTGACTTCGCGCGCGCGTGGCCATGCAGTGATGTGACTTTACGCGCATTGATGTGGCTTAACCCGACCGCATGTAGCGCACTCTAAGCTTTGCAGGCACCGAGTGTTGCTGTAGGTTTCAGTCGGAACTTCCAGTTCAAGCATATAAGGACTTCCATTGGCCGGATGGCACAAGATACAATAAGCGGCAGAAAACCAAGGCGCAACTGCTCCGAGATCACCCGCAGAGGTTAGACGCCTTCCACTTGTACTGACTACAGTCATAGTCAACTGCAGTTGCGGGCGTTTGCTCCTTGTAACAAGGCAGGCACAGACACGAATGCAAAGCTACTCCGCAGAGGGTCTTGCAAATGTTGGCATGCAACAGCACAACAGAGAAGGGCTGGCAACGTGCGCAACTGAGCGCAACTGACCCGAGACATTATATCGAGGATGCGCAAAGAGGTTGCCCTCCCTCAGATCCCGCAGCTGTAACGCTCGTCCTCAGGTGCTGCGACATCACTAGTGTTTTCCTCAGCTAAAGGGAAGCTGGCACAAGCCATGCTTCACAGCTTTGTACTGGTACCTGGCTGTTCCGCATCACAAGGCATGGTGTCGACGAAGCGGCGCCGATTCAATGCCGCACTCCTACTGGGTACACGGGCAATGAAGACAGTGTCGGAACGCACCGAGAGGGTTGGGCTTTTCTTCCAAAACAGGGGGTTGTACCCAAAGTAATCAAAAGGCACAATCGACACGAGCCAGTTGTGTTAATGAAGCTCAAAGGAAATGATGGGCCTTTCCAAAGTGCATGATATTTGTTGTTTGCAATCTGGCCTGCAGCAAACCACACAGCCCTGATGTGGAGCGACATGTTGCGGATACTTGTGTAAATAGGAAGTCCCGAAGCGAGGCGGTCTCCGTGACCCAGGTGCATCATGCTGCCTATCTATGTCTTACACGGCGTATCAATACCCTTTGCATTGTGTGCTGCTGTTCTTCTGCGTCGCCTTGTTGGTCTACATCTCATGTGAGTTCTGCACGCGATCACGGCGTTCGTACACAGACTTCGGGGACAAGACAGATGACACCATGACACCCCAGACTGTTCTTGCATGAGCCACGCAGATATCAAGATAGCTTCGATAACTTGCTGACACAACTGGCTTCTGACAGTGTGGGATTCTACGTTGGTGGCGTGTGTGTGTGTGTGAATGTTGCTTGACATTGTTTTGTATGTAGGTTTCAAGGAAGGATATATTTTGGTGCTGCACAACATGTGGCATTTCATAATGCTGTCAGATGCTTAATGATTTTCGCAATGCAGCACGAGCATGGTCATGGCTTCCTTTATGTTGCTTGTTCCCCACATCATTGTGTGGGGTTCTTACTTTTACCGCTCGTCGTCCGTCGCCGATGCCTCCTCGTCCTCCTCCTCCTTCCTCCTCCCGCCTCCTTCCTCACTCACTCGCTCGCTCGCTCACTCACTCACTCACTCTCTCTCTCTCACTCAACTCACTCACTCACTCACTCACTCACTCACTCACTCACTCACGCACGCACGCACGCACGCACGCACGCACGCACGCACTCACTCACTCACTCACTCACTCACTCACTCACTCACTCACTCACTCACTCACTCACTCACTCACTCACTCACTCACTCACTCACTCACTCACTCACTCACTCACTCACTCACTCACTCACTCACTCACTCACTCACTCACTCACTCACTCACTCACTCACTCACTCACTCACTCACTCACTCACTCACTCACTCACTCACTCACTCACTCACTCACTCTCTCTTTGCATGGCAGGGGCAACATATGGCAGCTGTCTAAAGGGGCTGGATGTTGTCGAGCGCGCGGCTCAATCTGCGTGACAGGCGCAGCACTTTGGAGATGGCGCACAGATTTCGTGGCAGGCGCAGTATTTTCTGCATTTGGGTGTGTGTTTGCGTGGCAGGGGCAGCATTTGGTAGGTGTCTAAAGGGACTGGATGTTGTCGAGCGCGCGGCTCGGGGGCTTAATCTGCGTGACAGGCGCAGCACTTTGGAGATGGCGCACAGATTTCATGGCAGGCGCAGTATTTTCTGCATCTGGGTGCGTATGTTTGCGTGGCAGGGGCAGCATTTGGTAGGTGTCTAAAGGGACTGGATGTTGGAGCGCGCCGTGGCTCGGGGGCTCAATCTGCGTGACAGGCGCAGCAGTTTGGAGATGGCTTGCAAATTTCGTGGCAGGCGCAGTATTTTCTGCATCTGGGTGTGTGTGTTTGCGTGGCAGGGGCAGCGTTTGGTAGGTGACTGGATGTCGTCGAGCGTGCGGCTCGGGGGCTCAATCTGCGTGACAGGCGCAGCACTATGGCTTGCAAATTTCGTGGCAGGCGCAGTATTTTCTGCATCTGGTGGCAGGGAAAGCATTTGGTAGCTGTCTAAAGGGACTGGATGTCTTCGAGCACTCGGCTTGGGGGCTCAATCTGCGTGACAGGCGCAGCACTTTGGAGATGGCGCACAGATTTCGTGGCAGGCGCATTTTTTCTGCATCTCGGTGTGTTTGCGTGGCAGGGGCAGCATCTGGTAGGTGTCTGAAGGCACTGGATGTTGGGGGGCTCAATCTGCGTGACAGGCGCAGCACTTTGAAGACGGCTTGCAAATTTCGTGGCAGGCGCAGTATTTTCTGCATCTGGGCGTGTGTTTGCGTGGCAGGGGCAGCATTTGGTAGGTGTCTGAAGGGACTGGATGTCGTGGCGCACGCAGCACTTTGGAGATGGCTTGCACATTTCGTGTCAGGCGCAGTATTTTCTGCATCTCGGTGTGTGTTTGCGT